CTCCCTCCGGAAAAACCTCAGTGTATCCCTCTCCCACTGCAACCCTCTTGTAATCTCTTCGGCCCTGAAACTGCTCGACCACGTCCTGAAGCAAACCAGGTACTACAGCCACATGCCCTTTCTGAGTACCTGCCTACAGAACTGGATCATCCCCAATGGACTACAGTCTACATTTAAGCCTTCCCAATTTGGCCCCAACCACGACGACCGCTACATTTACAACACTGATATCCTACAGAAGCGTTTCTCCTTGCGACTCCTGAAATACACACTCGCTGCAATGAGCTGGCATCTCAAGATACTACAATTAAGCCTACCCCAGCTCAAAGCCTCCCTCTCCCAGACCTGCAAAAGGACCTCTCCTGTTTTTCATTCTTCGCAAGATCCACAACCTGAACTCACAATTCTACTCGGCTTTATTGGACACTAAAAACCGAAAGTACTTTAAACTTACTGGTGCCTGTCACCCTACCCAGGACCTTCCCCACCATGTGCCCGCCACCATTGGCCATGTGGCCAGCTTCGGAGCACCAACGGTTTCCACGGATGACGTCACATTCGCTGCCGCCCTGTACGCCACTTCCGGTACAGCCGACACCATCGACACCGCTGCTGATGCCGCCGCCTCCTACACAGACATCGAGGGCGCCGCTGCCACCAATATCCAAGATTTACCAGCCTACGTCGCTCTGCCCACCACCTCCACAGCCAACAGCTCCAGAGGAGACAATAGCATCCAGCCCTGCCGAGCCTTCACCATCCCCCCAGACCTCCCCCTGACTGAGGACGAATGGTCAGTCCTCAGTAAAGGACTCACCTTTGACCCCCTCCACCCAAACCTAGACGAATACAACTCACATTTGGACATTGAGCAGTTTTTCCGCCAGCGCGCTTATTTCTTTAACCGTGAGCCTAACCCTCCCTCTACTGACCCCTTCTCCCACCTCCAACACACCCCCTCCTCCTGGACACCACCCCAAGGCCTCCTACTCTCCCTCGACCTCTTCATTTCTAACTGCTGACGAGACATCAATCGCCTCAACCTCTCCAACCTCCTCCCTGCAGAACGTGCGGCCCTCCGCTCCCTCCGCTCCAATCCCAACCTCACCACAAAACCCGCGGACAATGGAGGCGCAGTTGTAGTATGGCGCACTGACCTCTACATCGCCGAGGGCAGGTGCCATCTCTTTGACACCTCCTCCTACCGCCCCCTTGATCATGATCCCAACCCCGACCACCAAACCATCATCTCCCAAACCATCCACAACCTCATCACTTCAGGTGACCTCCCACCTACAGCCTCTAATCTCATCATTCCCCAACCCCGCACGACCTGTTTCTATCTCCTTCCCAAAATCCACAAACCTGACTGCCCTGGTCGACCCATTGTCTAAGCTTGCTCCTGCCCCACCAAACTTATCTCCACCTATCTCGACTCCATCTTCTCCCCCTTAGTCCAGGAACTCCCTACCTACGTCCGTGACACCATCCACGCTCTCCACCTCCTCCAAAACTTCCGATTCCCTGGTCCCCAACACCTCATTTTTACCATGGACGTCCAGTCCCTATGCACATGCATTCCCCATGCAGATGGCCTAAAGGCCCTCCGCTTCTTCCTGTCCCGCAGGCCCGACCAGTCCCTCTCCACTGACACCCTCATTCGCTTAGCTGAACTCGTCCTCACCCTCAACAACTTCTCTTTCAATTCCTCCCACTTCCTACAGACAAAGGGGGTGGCCATGGGTACCTGCATGGGCCCAAGCTATGCCTGCCTCTTTGTAGGATACGTGGAACAATCCCTCTTCCAAAGCTACACTGGCCCTATCCCCCACCTCTTCCTCCGTTACATTGATGACTGTATCGGCGCTGCCTTGTACTCCCACGAGGAGCTCAAGCAGTTCATCCACTTCACTAACTCCTTCCACCCAACCTTAAGTTCACCTGGACCATCTCTGATACCTCTCTCTCCTTCCTGGACCTCTCTGTCTCCATCTCTGGTATCCACCTGGAAACCGATATCCATTTCAAGCCTAACGACTCCCACAGCTACCTAGAATACACCTCCTCTCACCCACCTTCGTGCAAAAAGGCCATCCCCTATTCCCAATTCCTTCGCCTCCGCCGCATCTGCTCCCAAGATGAGGCATTCCACTCCCGGACATGGCAGATGTCCTCGTTTTACAAGGACCGCAACTTCCCCTCCAGTGGTCGAAAATGCCCTCGACCATCTCTCACATTTCCCGCAACTCATCCCTCACACCCCCTCCCCGCAATAACAACCAAAACAGAATCCCCCTCGTCCTCATGTACCACCCCACCAACCTCCGAATCCAGCGCATCATCCTCCGACACTTCCGCCATCTGCAATCTGACCCCACTACCAAAGATATTTTTCCCTCCCCACCCTTATCTGCTTTCAGAAGGGACCACTCTCTCCGTGACTCCCTTGTCCGCTCCACACTCCCCTCCAGCCCCACCACCTCCAGCACTTTTCCCTGCAACCGGAGTGCTACACCTGCCCCTACACCTCCCCTCTCACCCCCATCCCAGGCCCTAAGAAGACCTTCCACACCAAACAGATGTTCACCTGCACATCTGCTAATGTGGTATACTGTATCCGCTGTTCCCGTTGTGGCCTCCTCTACATCGGGGAAACCAAGCGGAGGGTTGGGGACCACTTTGCAGAACACCTACGCTCAGTTCGCAACAAACAACTACACCTCCCAGTCGCGAACCATTTCAACTCCCCCTCCCACTCCTTGGACGACATGTCCATCCTGAGCCTCCTGCATTGCCACAATGATGCCACCCGAAAGCTGCAGGAACAGCATCTCATATTTCGCTTGGGAACCCTGCAGCCCAAGGGTATCAATGTGGACTTCACAAGCTTCAAAATCTCCCCCGACCGCATCCCAAAACCAGCCCAGCTCATCCCCGCCTCCCTAACCTGTCCTCCCACCTCAAGCCCCACCCCCATCTCCTACCCACTAACCTCATCCCGCCTCCTTGACCTGTCCGTCTTCCCTGGACCGAACTATCTCCTCCCTAACTCCCCACATACATTCACCTTTACTGGCTCCAACCCCGCCTCTTTGACCTGTCTGTCTCCTCTCCACCTATCTTCTCCTTTATCCATCTTCCATCCGCCTCCCCCTCTCTCCCTATTTATTTCAGAATCCCCTTCCCCTCCCCCATTTCTGAAGAAGGGTCTCGACCCGAAACGTCAGCTTTCCTGCTCCTCTGATGCTGCTTAGCCTGCTGTGTTCATCCAGCTCTACACCATGTTATCTCAGTCTATCCTCATATTTTACCTTATTGCTTTTTTGGTTGCCCACTGCTGTGTTTTTAAAGGCCTCCCATTAATCTTCACCACATTGTCTGCTTTCTCTTTTGTTTTCATGCAATTCTTCACTTCCCTTGTCAGCCACAGTTGCTTCATCCTCCCTTGGTACATTTTGTCTTCCTTGAGATGAATTACTACTGTGCCTCCCGAACTACCACCAGAAACTCTAGCCACTGCTGTCCCACCATCTTTCCTGCTAGGATTCCCTTCCAATCATCACAGACCAGCTCCTCCTTCATACCTTTACTCAATTGTAAAAACATTAAATTGGATTCCAGCTTCTTCCTCTCAAACTACAGGGTGAATTTTATCATGTTATGGTCACTGTCCCCTCGGGGCTCCTTCACCTTAAGCTCCAAACTTGGATATATTACATTTAACTTCTTCAAATAAATCATTATTATGTATTGTGAATAGCTAGAATCCAAGCATGGATCTTTGCAATACCCCACTAGTCACTGGCTGCCCTTCGGAAAAAGACCAGTTTATTCCTACTCTTTGTTTCTGGCCTGACAACCAGTTTTCTATCCATGTCAGCATGCTCCTGCCAATCCCATATGCTTTAATTTCAGATACTAATCTCTTATGTGGGACCTTATCGAAAGCCTGCTGAAATTCTAAGTAAACCACATCTACTGGCTCCCTTTTATCAAATCCAAGAGTTACATCCTTGAAGAAATCCAATTGATTTGTCAAGCATGATTTCCCTTCCATAAATCTGATTCTGTCCAATCCTGTCACTGTTTTCCAAATGCCCTGCTATTAAATCTTTTATAATGGACTCTAGAACTTTCCCCAATACTGATGTCAGGCTAACAGGTCTATAATACATGTCTTCTCTCTCGCTCCTTTTTTGAAAAATAATAGCTACGTTAGCTACCGTCCAACCCAAGCAAACTGTTCCAGAACCCATAGAATCTTGAGAAAAATGAACAGTGATGCATCTGCTTCCTTAAGTTCTCTGGGATGTAGATTATTGGGCCTGGGGGATTTACCACATTTAATCTGATCAATTTCCCCAATACCATTTCCTTACCAATACTGATTTCCTTCAGTTCCTCTGTGCCATTAGACATGTTCACCAACATTTTTGGTACGTTATTTGAGATTTTCTTTGTGAAGACAAAAATAAAGCATGCAACTAACTGTGCTGTCTATTTGTCCCCCAGAGTAACTTTCCCTGCTTCTGACTGTATTTGTCTTCACTCATATTTTTCTCTTTTATTGTATTCTATTTTCCTCCTCTTACTCAATCTCTTTATCCTCCTTTACTGAATTCTAAAGTGCTCTCAATCCTCAGGTCTACTGCTTTTTTGACCAATTTGTCTGTCTCTTCTTTGGATCTAGTACTATCCATAATTTGCCTTGTTAGCCATGGTAAGGCCACCTTTCCCTTTCATTTTTGCGCCAGACAGTAATTAACGATTTCCAAGCACTTCAAACTGTAATTATCAGAATACATTTTGGCAATGCAAGTGCAAGGTCATGTAAACTCTGTTTCAAATAGCTACTAATATTCGGTATTTCAAATGGAATTAACAAAACAAACTGGATCCTAAATGCAAATGAACAACAACATTCACCAGAGTAATTCACCGGTTAGCCTACTTACAATTAATTTTCACTAACTAGGAATGTCAGAGCCCCATAAATTTACCTTCTCTTTCTTCCTCAATTTGCGTCATCTGTAATTCCATGACAGCCCTCTCCTCTTTGGGCTGTCTCCTTGCTGATTCAGAAACCATTTCTTGCCACTCAAACAGCCGATTCTGCAGTTCTTCAGCACTACCGGATTCACTTGTCTACAGGGACATAATACAAGTGTGCACTCAGATATAAGTCTAATTCAATAATTATGCATTCTTCTTATTCATGCCATTACAATTAAGAACAGATGGCCAAAGGCTAATAATAATACAAAATTGCCACTCAATCATATTTGGCTAACAGTGTAATAAATGGACCTGTGATTAAAGGTAATGCATCAAAGCTACTGCTAGTATAAAAAAACTGAAAGGCCACCTTCTGTGCTGTCACTTATGACTAGTAAATTTATTCTTCTTTCTGAAGTTAATTAATTCATAAGAGATTCTTGTCTTCAATTACTTACTACTACAAATAGTGTAATAAATGGGTGTTCAGTAATTATATGATTGCTTTATAGGTATTCTAATCAGTTTGAAAATCCACAGCTGGATTTCCCATCCCATCCCTGTCAACTGGAGCAGCCCTACAGCCATTTACCACTCCAAGCAATTGTAATTGGCTGAAGACAGAATTTCTGCCCACCTCAAAATTACTGGCCACAGCTCTGTCATTCTACCAGTCTGACTGGCCAAGACTGGGACCAAAAGAAATTCTCAGATTCTAAACTCCAGACGAGGTGGGGTATCTCATGACAGGAATAAGGTAAGACCCCTGAAGATGTCAAAGGAGGCTGATGTTTTGATGGAAGGACCAGGGACATGGACTGGTGAGGAGAGAGAATCCAATGTGGAATTGAGGCTCTTGCAGTAGGCACACAGAGCTGCACGTGGGTTAGCACTCACAGCACCAGGGGCCAAGGTTCAATAACAGCTTTGAGCAACTGTCCATATGGAACTTCCACAACTCCGTGCCAGGGTTTCTATTGGGTGTTCTGGATTCCTCCCACAGACCAATGATGTGCAGGTTAGGTGGAAGCAGGAAGGTGGTGGAAAGGCCAACCAGGAAATTTGCAAGTCACTCTCAAAGCTGCTGACATGATCCATGTAATTCTTTCTATAAATGAAAGAGATGTTGCAGCGCATCACCCTGTGCTGCTGTATACAACTTTTCAAAAATCTTATGTTTCAAGTCACTATTACAGAAAACAACATAGATGAATTTCTCAAACCTTATTGCTCCTGGTCTTATGGATTTTCACTAAAGAATACCTTTACATCAAAAATCTTCCATTGCATCGAAGTCCTCACTTCCAACATTGGTTTGAAAGAGGATACTTTGGCTAACAGTGTAGTAAAGAAAATGCACCTTTTCTTCCTTCAATCCACAGACGGTTGTAATTAAGATAATTAGTATTTACCTCTTAGGCTTTTGTGGTGCAGTGTTAGTGTCCATACCTCTGGCCTGGGAGGCCCAGGTTCAAGTCCTACCTGCTCCAGAGGTGTGCAATAACATCTCTGAGCGAGTTCATTGGAAAAATGGGTTAAATGAAAAATTAGGGCCCCCTTGTAGTACAGAGATACAGTCCCTACCCATGGTCTAGGAGGCCTGGGATCAAGTCCCACCTGCTCCAGAGGTGTGTGACAACATCTCTGAATAGGTCGATTAGAAAAATGAGTTAAATGAAAATTTTTAAAAATTAAAGGATCTTTTCGCACAGCAGTGGTGTCCCTTTCTCTGAGCCAAGCAGCCTACATTCAAGTTGCACCTGCTCCAGAATGCATCATAGAACATAGAACAATACAGCACAGTACAGGCCCTTCGGCCCACGATGTTGTGCCGAACTTTTACTCTAATCCTAAGGTATATCTAACTTCCACCCCTACCTTATACTATCATCCATATGCCTATCTAATAGCCGCTTAAATACCCCTAATGAGGCCGACTCCACTACTCTCTCCGGCAATGCATTCCACACCCCGGCCACTCTGATTAAAGAGCCTACCTCTGACGTCTCCCTATATCTACCTCCACTCACTTTAAAACTATGCCCTCTCGTAATAGCTATCTCCACCCTAGGAAAAAGTCTCTGGCTGTCTACTCTATCTATACCTTTGATCATTTTGTACACCTCTATCAAGTCACCTCTCATCCTTCGTTGTTCTAAAGAGAAAAGCCCTAGCTCTCCCAACCTTCCCTCATAAGACCTTCCCTCCATTCCAGGCAACATCCTGGTAAATCTCCTCTGCACCTTTTCCAACGCTTCCACATCTTTCCTGTAACGAGGCGACCAGAACTGGACACAATACTCCAGATGTGGCTGAACCAGGCTTTTGTATAGCTGGAGCATAACTTCACGGATCTTGAACTCAATCCCTCTATTAATGAAAGCTAACGCATCATACGCTTTCTTAACAACTCTATCCACCTGGGTGGCAGCTCTCAGGGAACTGTGGACATGAACCCCGAGATCCCTCTGCTCCTCCACACTGCCAAGAATCTTTCCGTTAACCCTGTATTCTGCTTTCAAGTTTGTCCTTCCAAACTGAATCACCTCACACTTTTCAGGGTTAAACTCCATGTGCCACTTCTCAGCCCAGCTCTGCACCCTATCAATGTCCCTTTGTAACCTAGAACAGCCCTCCGCACTGTCCACGACACGACCCACCTTCGTATCGTCCGCGAACTTGCTTATCCACCCTTCCACTCCTTCATCCAAATCATTTACAAAAATCACAAATAGAAGAGGACCCAGGACAGATCCTTGTGGTACACCACTCGTAACTGAGCACCATGTTGAATATTTTCCGTCCACTACCACCCTTTGTCTTATAAGGGTCAGTTAATTCGGAATCCAATCTGCCACACTGCCCCCTATCCCATGCCTCCTTATCTTCTGCATGAGCGTACCATGGGGAACCCTATCAAATGCCTTACTTAAATCCATGTATACCACATCCACTGTTCTACCTTCATCCACGTGTTTGGTCACCTCTTCAAAGAATTCAATAAGGTTTGTGAGGCATGATCTACCCCTCACAAATCCATGCTGACTATCACGAATCAAACTGTGCCTATCCAAGTGATCATAAATCCTATCTCTTACAGCCCTTTCCAATAATTTGCCCACCACTGAAGTAAGACTAACTGGCCTGTAATTTCCGGGGTTATCCCTATTCCCTTTTTTGAACAAGGGAATGACGTTTGACTCTCTCCAATCTTCCGGCACTATACCCTTGGACAGCGATGATGAAAAGATCATCGCCAAAGACCCTGCGATCTCTTCCCTTGCTTCCCATAGAATCCTTGAATAAATCCAATCACGCCCGGGGGACCTTTCTATCTTCAACTTCCTCAAAATTCCTCGTACATTTTCCTTACTAACATCAACCTCCTCTAGATACCAGCCTGTTTCACACTGTCTTCCTCTACAACTAGGTCCCTCTCAGTTGTGAATACCAAAGTAAAGTATTCATTAAGGACCTCTCCATTCTCTTTCGGCTCCGTGCACAAATTCCCTTTCCAATCCTTGATCGGCCCTACCCTTTCTCTGGTCATTCTCTTATTCCTCACGTACGTATAAAAAGCCTTGGAGTTTTCCTTGATCCTATCTGCCAAGGTTTTCTTATGCCCCCTTATAGCTCTCCTAAGCCCTTTCTTCAGCTCCTTCCTGGATAACTTGTATCCCTCTGGAGCCTTTTCAGTTCCTTGTTTCCTAAACCTTACATAAGCATCCTTCTTCCTCTTAACCAGTCGTTCAACCTCTCTTGAGAACCAAGGCTCCCTCACTCGACCACATCTTCCCTGCCTGGTAGGGACAAACATATCGAGCACACACAGTATGCATTCCTTAAACAATCTCCACATTTCAATCGTGCTCTTTCCCTAACAGTATCTGTTCCCATTTTATGTTACCCAGTTCTTGCCTAATAGAATTGTAATTACCCTTCCCCCAATTATAAACCTTACCCTGTTGTATATACCTATCCTTTTCCATGACTATTGTAAAAGTAACAGAGTTATGATCGTTACTGCCAAAATGCTCTCCTACCAACAGGTGTAACACTTGGCCCGGTTCATTGCCAAGCACCAAATCCAAAGTGGCCTCTCCTCTTGTTGGCCTATTTACACATTGTGTCAGGAATCCTTCCTGAATGCACTGGACAAAATCCGCTCCATCTAAACAGTTATAACTAAAATGTTTCCAATCAACATTTGGAAAGTTGAAGTCACCCATGACTACAACCCTGTGACTTCTGCACCTTTCCAGGATCTGCCTCCCAATCCACTCCTCCACTTCTCTGCAACTATTAGGGGGTCTGTAAAAATCCCCCAAAGTGACTGCTCCTTTCTTGTTCCGGACCTCAACCCAAACTGACTCTGTTGACATATCATAGAACAAAGAACAAAGAAAAAAGAAAATTACAGCATGGGCACAGGTCCTTCGGCCCTCCAAGCCTGCACTGACACGCGACCCGTCACAACTAAAACCCCCTATTCTTCCAGGGACCATATCCCTCTATTCCTATCCTATTCATGTATTGTCAAGGCGCCCTTTAAAAGCCACTGTTGTGATTATTTCCACTACCTCCCCTGCCAGTGAGTTCCAGGCACCCATCACCCGTTGTATAAAAAAAACTTGCCTCATACATCACCTCTAAACCTTACCGCTCACACCTTAAACCCATGGTCCCTGGTAACTGACTCTTCCACCCTGGGAAAAAGCTTCTGACTGTCCACTCTGTCCATGCCCTTCATAATCTTGTAGACCTCTATCAGGTCGTCCCTCAACCTCTGTCGTTCCAGTGAGAACAACCCAAGTTTCTCCAACCTCTCCTCATAGTTAATGGCCTCTATACCAGACAACATCCTGGCAAATCTTTTCTGTACCCTTCAATCTTTTCTGTGCCCTTCAAAGATTCCTAACATCTTTGAATCACACTGTTCAGATATATCTTAATTAATCTCCAAATTTCCAGGAGATCTGGGTTCAAATCCCACCTATTCCAGAAGTGAGAGATAACATCTCTGAATGCGTTGATTAGAAAAGCACTTATCTACTGATTTTCAAGAACACATTTTTGCTCTTTGCAGCAAATTTAGTTTATCTAATGTCAGCTGCATTATTTTCTCTTTCTTGCCGACAGGTGGTCATCTTCTTTCAATACAACATTATCATTCAAACAGTGGTTGCAGAACTTTCTAAAACATCAAAACTGATTCAAGAACGCGCAAAGCACCCACTATTACACAAGCTAATTACAGCAGGCATTTTCAGGTCAAGTGTATGCAATAATGTATCTAGAAGCGAACATTTTTTCACGGATGCAGGGTGAGCACCTAAAATGTAGATACCAAGTCAGGTAAGCAAAACGGTCAAGAAAAATAGGGAAGACAAACTTTGTCAAGTACCCCATAGTTTAAAAAATGTATAATAAGCAACAATAAAACTCATCAATCTAAAAAAATCCATGTAAGATGATACAGCTTGTACATTATCAGTTCATAATATTGGATATGAATAAATTACAGACAACACAAAGCATTTTGCAAACCTGGGAAGTTGCCCTTTTGGTCATCTGTTCGAGATCTGCTTGCATTTTCTGTTGCTGTTCTTCATACAGTTCTAATTTAGCCAGAAGCTCCTCTGCAAGAAAAATCCACCATTCTCTTAATGTTTGGAAGAACAAAATGACAAAATAATTCAATAAGTCAATTATTGAAGTACCATTTTGCACTCTTATCTTTTCAAGATCATCCACTTTTTGTTCAAGATTTCCTTTCTCCTCTTCCAGTTCAGCAACTCGGCTTTTGAGGATAATTTGCTCCTGGTGAGAAGTTTCAGTCTAAAATGAAAATGAAACGTAGTTAAAGAAGAAGTTTTTCTTTTCATGAGTGACATAAATGCAGTTCAAATTAAAGAGAGGCAAAATACTTATTCAAATAGTTTTTATATAAGTTCTTTTTACTTCATACTTGCACTTAGTATTTCACTTTGTCCTACATCCTCATGTCAACTCCCCATTATTTCCTTATTTGAAACAGTTCGTACTGAATCTGCTGGTACCTGTAATTCTGCTAAATCAGTAAAATGCCAGGCTTAACATATTTAACAGTATGCAAGATGACATATGCCAGGAGAAAGGAAGAGAAGGATAGACAGCAGTAGTAATTTAAATGGATTGCATTGATTTGTTGGGTTGAGTAACTTATTAGTGTCTCAGACTGAGATATTTACAGCATTTACAGCACAGGAGGCCGCCATTTGGTCCATGGTATCTGCACCAGTTACCAAAGATTTGAGTAATCCCATTTTCCAGCTTTTGATCCCTAGCCCTGAAGGGAAAGACAATGCAAGTGAATATCTAAATATATTAGGAGTTTCTGACTCCCAACACATTCTGGGCAAAAATAAATTCTTCTCAACTCTCTTCTTAGCCTTCTACCTACCTTCAATCTCTGCCCCCAGTTACTGAACTCTCCAGTAATGAAATGTGTCTTTCTACCCACTCCATCTATCCCCCTCATATATACCTCTATCAGGTCCCACCTCAACCTTTACCACTCCAAGGAAAATGACCCCAGCCTATTCAATATTTTGTCATTTTCTGCTTAGGCTATATCCTGGTAAACCTCCTCTGCACCTTATTTAGTGCAATTACATCCTTTCCATAACGTAGTGGCTAGAACTGCACACAGTACTCCAGCTGTGACCAAACCAGCGTTTTATACAGTCCCAACATGACCTTCTTGTTCTTGTAGTCTATACTTCTGCTAATAAAGGCAAGTATCCCATATACTTGGGATAACCACCTCACAACCACCTCACGTGCGTCCTTGCTATTTTTAGGATATGTATACAAAATATCTCTTATCTCCAGTATTTTCCAGGCCATTCACCGTGTTATTGCTTACTTTGTTAGTCTTGCTAAGTGATTGTCACTGTTGTGTCCACCTGACCAGTCAGTTGATAGACTCCGACACAGTAGGAACTGCAGATGCTGGAGAATCTGAGTTAACAAGGTGTAGAGCTGGATGAACACAGCAGGCCAAGCAGTATCAGAGGAGCAGGAAGGCTGACGTTTCGGGCCTAGACTCTTCTTCAGAAACTTTTCTGAAGAAGGGTCTAGGCCCAAAACATCAGCCTTCCTGCTCCACTGATGCTGCTTGGCCTGCTGTATTCATCCAGCTCTACACCTTGTTATCTCTGTTGATAGCCTCTTGCAGTTTAAGACTATAAGATATTAGAGCTAAATTAGGTCATCCAGCCCAATGAGTCTGCTCAGCCATTCGATCATGGCTGATACGTTTCTCGACACCATTCTCCCTCCTTCTCCCGTAATCCTTGACCTCATTACTAATCAATTTTCTGTTTTAAGGAAACTCAATGACTTGGCCTCCAAAGGCTTCCGGCTGCCATCATGAAAAAGACCTTTTTATCCCTACTCTCTGTCTTCTGCCAGTCAGCCAATCCTCTATTCGTGCCACTACCTTGCCCCTAAAACCATCTTAGCTTATTTATCAGCCTCCTGTGTGGCACCTTGTCAAAGGCCTTCTGGAAATCCAAATAGATCATGTTCATGGGCTTTCCTTTGTCTAACATACTCATTACCTCCTCAAAGAATTCTAACAGATTTGTAAGGCATGACCTCCCCTTCACAAGGCTGTGGTGACACAGCCCTTTCCACCACATACCTCTACGTACTCTGCAATTCTGTCCTCTTTAATGGACTCTAAAATCTTAACAATGATCAAAGTCAGGCTAACCAGCCTATGATTTCTCATCTTCTGCTTCCCTTCTTAAACAGAAGAGTTACATTAGCCATTTCCAAGTTCCTGGGCACATTCAGGAATCACTGCAGTCAGGGAAAGATCACCACCAACATTTCCACAATCTCTTCAGTTATCTCCTTCAGAAACCTGGGGTGTAGTTCATTCCGGCCAAGGCTTCGCTATTCTGCTCAGTATTTACCACCAATCAACTTTCATATTATCTGTGAACTTCATGATCATACCCCCTACATTTAAGTCCAAACTATTAACATATACCAAAAACAATAAACACCCCATCACCAAGCATTACAGAACTCCACTTCCAGTTACAGAACTATTCCTTCAATCACCCTCCATTTCCTGCTTCCCTGCCACTCTGGGATCCACATATCGATTTTGGCTTAGATCCCACAGACTCTTAACAGTCTGCTATAAGGGACCTTATCAAATGTCATGCTGAATTTTGTGAAGACCACATCAAATGCCTTAAAGGAGTGGCAGGTGGAGTTTAATTTAGACAAATGCAAGGTGTTGCATTTGGAAAGGCAAATCAGGTTAGGACTTATACACCTAATGATAAGGTCTTAGGGAATGTTGCTGAATAAAGACACCTTGGAGTGCAGGTTCATATTCTTTGAAAGTGGAGTTGCAGCTAGACAGGAGAGTGAAGGCGGTGTTTGGTACACTTGCCTTTATTGGTCAGTGCACTGAGTATAGGAGTTGGGAGGTCATGCTGTGGCTGTACAGACTGTACAGGACATTGGTCAGGCCACTTTTGGAATACTACAAGCAGTTCTGGTCTCCCTGCTATAGGAAAGATGTTGTGAAACTTGAAAGGGTTCAGACAAGATTTACAAGGATGTTGCCAAGGTTGGAGAGTTTGAGCTATAGGGAGAGGCTGAATAGGCTGGGGTTATTTTTCCTGGAGCGTCTGAGGTTGAGGGGTGACCTTATAGAGGTTTATAAAATCATGAGGGGCATGGATAGGGTGAACAGACAAGATCTTTTCCCCTGGGTGGGGGGAGTCCAAATCTAGACGGCACAGGTTTAAGGTAAAAGGGACCTAAGGGGCAACTTTTTCATGCAGAAAGTGGTGTGTGTATGGAATGAGCTGCCAGAGGAAGTGATGGAGGCTGTAAAAATTACAAGATTTAAAAGGCATCTGGATGGGTATACAAACAGGAAGGGTTTAGAGGGATAATGGCCAAATGTGACTAGATTAATTTAAGATATCTGGTCAGCATGGACGAGTTGGACCTAAGCGTCTGTTTCCATGCTGTACAGCTCTATGACTCTAACTTCTTCAATACCTCTGGTTATCTCCTCAAATAAAATGTCAAACACAACATTCCCTTAACAAATGCATGCTGACTATGCTTAATTTAGTCCTCGTCTCTACAAATGTACATATATCTATTCCTCAGAATTCTTTCTAATAATTTCCTCAGCAAGGATAGCTGACTGGGCTGCCATTTCCTGGTCTATCCCTTCCTCCCTTTTTTTAAATAATGTGACAATGTTAGCAGTCCTCCAGATCTATGGACCAAGAGGATTTGAACATTACTGCCACGGCCCCCAATATTTCCTCCCTTAAAGCCTGGTATGCATCTCATGCATTTAGCATCTCTTCTCACTCTATGTTAATCTCTTCTAATATTCAAACGTTTAAGGTTTTAGCAAAGATTTGCAGCTCGAGTCGTGGGTGAGGTTGTTGACTTGCTCGTCGAGCTGGCTTGTTTTCGTTTGAGACGTTTCGTCACCATGCTAGGTAACATCATCAGTGAGGCCTCCAATGAAGCAATGTTGGTCTACTCCACTTGAAATTTATACTGTCCAGTCTGTTATGGTGAGTAGTCTCAGTTCTGGATTTGTTCTGTAAGGGTCTGTATATGGGGTTCAATTCTTTATGTTTGCTGACGCACGGGAATTCCTAGAGGCATGGTTCTCAACCCATAATGCAACATCAGAATACACGAACATCAGCTAGCAGCAAAACGGCACAACAAACTTTCCTTCATATCAGTACACTCGGACAATGAAGGCCATCAGTTTAGCTGGGACAAGATAACCATAGTAGCCCAAGCCAAACAGAGACACACACAGGAATTCCTGGAGGCATGGTTCTCAACCCATAATGCAAATCAACAAACATGTAAAATTGGACTCCATGTACAAACCCTTACATAACAAAACCAGAAATGACACAATTCATTATAACAGACCAGACAGCATAAATTCCAAGTGGAGTAGAACAACATCGCTTCATTGGAGGCCTCACTTTGATGTTACCTAGCATGGTGTTGAAACATCTGAACGAAAACAAGCCAGCTCAGCGAGCAAGTCACCTACATCAATTTTCAAATGTCATGCTGAACTCCTGTTTCCTCAGCCTTCCAGCCTCATTTACTCATTTTCTAATTTCTAATTTGTCTCATCCTGTCTCCCCTCTGAACCTCTTCTCAGGAGCCCAACCCCTTGCCAATTCAGTTTAAATCCTCCCATTTCCATTTTACATCATTTGAGTACAGTGAAATGGATGGTGCACTGAGATTCAGACTTTCTGTCCATTACTCAGGAAAGTATTCCTTTACATGGTTCAGCTGAGACAGAAGGGTTACTTTGAATAGAGATTATTGATTTCCACCGCAAGGAAGGAAACTTCAGTGTTTCACGGAAAAAAAAGGATCAATGCTACCCTACTTTCATTAAGAGATCATGCCTTGCGTTTTACTTCCATCTAAATAAAAGATGTGCAGTTGCCAGATATCAGAGGTTTAGATTTACACGTACAATTGCATTTTTCACATCTTCTTCAGCCTGCCTGATTCTGGATTTGGACCAAGCTTTCAATTTCAGGAATTTGGCCTCTGATTTAGCAACTTCTTCCATTTTAAGTTTTAGCTTTTCTAGAAAGAAAGAGAATGCAAATAAATATACTGATCACACATCTCAACAATGTCATTAACACCAGCAGAACAAACATCAATAATTTGTTAAAATCCGAAATATCTGCAGATGCTGGAAATCAGAGACAAAAACAGAAATTGCTGGAAAAGCTCAGCAGGTCTGGCAGTAGCTGTGAAGAGAAATCACAGTTAACGTTTCGGGTCAGGCAACTTCCTCAATAATTTGTTTATCGTGTAACTTTGTAGCCAACAATTCTTACTTCTAATATAAAATGTATGGCAGTTTCCATTACAGTTAGTCTATTATGTTGGCTCCTGGTTTATTGTACTAAGTAAAGCAAACAGTGAGTATTGTACTTAGACAATGTGATATTTGTCCGTTCTTGCCATTGATGTGTTCTGTAGCTGATTAGGCTGGGACTATTTTCCCTAGAGCGTCGGAGGCTGAATGGTGACCTTATAGAAGTTTATAAGATCATGAGGGGCACAGATAGGATGAATAGCCAAAGTCTTTTCCCCAGGTTAGCAGAGCCCAAAACTAGACGGCAAAGGTTTAAGGTGAGAGGGGAAAGATTTGAAAGGAACTTAAGGGGCAACATTTTCATGCAGGGGGTGGTGCGTGTATGGAATGAGCTGCCAGAGGAAGTGGTGGAGGCTGATACAATTACAACGTTTAAAAGGCATTTGGACAGGTATATGAATAGGAAGGGTTTAAGAGGAATATGGGCCAAATGCTGGCAAATGGGACTAGATTAATTCAGGATATCTGGTCGGCATGGATGAGTTGCATTAAAGCATCTGTTTCCGTGCTTCGCAGCTCTTTGACTCTTAAGTGGCAACACAAAAAAAATAGACAAGGTGTATGTGAAAATCAAATATTAAATCCACTCTTTCACTGTCGCTGGGTCAAAATTCTGGAGTTCTCTCACAAATGGCATTGTGGGTCAGCACATGGACAGCAGCAGTTCAAGAAGGCAGCTCACCACCACCTTCTCAAGGACAACTGGGGCAGGTAATAAATGTAGGCCAGCCAACAACACTCACATCCCACAAGTGAATCAAAAGAATCTCCTCTGCACACCCTCCAGTGCAAACACATCTTCCTATCGTGTGTACTGACTAAAAGTGCACATAGTACTCCAGCTGCAGCTTAACCAAAGCCAAAGCACGGTACTGTACATGGTGTCCCAGATATGGTCTCACTAATGCTCTGCATAACTGATACGTAATGTCCCTTTTCTTGCATTCAATTCCCTTCGCAATATTCCATAACATTCTATTAGCTTTCTTGACTACTTGCCGTAACTGCACGCTAATCTTTTGTGATTCGTGATTTTTGTGATTGTGATGTCTCTACGTATCAGAGTTGTGCAACATCTCACTACTTAGATAATGTGTCTTTTATATTCTTTCTGCCAAAATGGACAATTTCACAGTTCCCCACATTGTACTCCATTTCCCAGCATTTTACCCACTTACTTAACCTAGCTATATCCCTTTCAACAAAGAACAGTACAGCACATGAACAGGCTCTTCAGCCCATCAGGCCTGCGATGACACATGACACCTTTCTAAGTAAAAAACCTTTTGCATCTATGCAGTCTGTATCCCTCTATTCCCTGCCTATTCATGCATCTGTCAAGATATCTCTTAAGCATTGATACTCTTATCGACTTCTACCTCCTCTGGCACTATAATCCAGGCATTTACCATCCTCTGTGTAAAATATTTTCCTCTTTTACCTTAAACCTATGTCCCCTAATAATTGACATTTCTACCCTGGGAAAAAGACTCAATTATCTACTCCTCTCATAATTTTGTAAACTTCTTTATAGATTACACAGGTCTTCTTCAGAACTCACTTTCTTAGTTAAATTTGCTAATGACACAAAGATAGGTATCAGTTCCGAGGAAGGGTCACTAGATCCAAAAGGTTAAACCTGATTTCTCTCCACAGATGCTGCCAGACCTTTTGAGCCCTTCTAGCAATTAGCTTCTTGGCTTTTGATTTCCAGCATCCGCAGTTCTTTTGATTTTTATCATACCTTCATTCCTCTCATCCAAATCATTTATATGAATTGTAAAGAGTTGAGTCAGTACCAACATGGACCATGACATTTTGTTGATCTCCCTCCCGAAAAGAACGTCCTGTAGCCACAACATGATAACCTTGATCTGGAGAAAAGACTTTGACTATCTACCCTGGAAAAAGGCTCTGACTATTCACACCTCTCAATTTTATATACTTCTATCAGGTCCACAGCCTTCGATGCTCTAGTGAGAACAACCCACGTTTGTCCAAACTCTCCTTATAGCTAAAAGACGTCAATCCAGGCAACATCCTGGTAAACGTCTTTTGCATCCTCCCCAGAGCTTCCACATCCTTCCTGTAGTGTGGTGACCAGAATTCCACACAATACTCCAAAATGACCTAACGAAAATCTCACACAGTTGCAACATGACTTGCCAACTATCAGACTCAGCACCGCGATTGAAGAAGGCAAGCAGAGCTATACTCCTTCTTTACCACCTTATCCACTTGTATTGATACTTTCAGGGAGTTATGGACTTGCACTCCAACATTCCTCTGTACATCAACGCTCCTAAGGGTTCTGCCATTTATTGTATACTTCCCTCTTGCGTTTGACCTCCCAAAATGCATCACCTCACACTTGTCCATGTTAAACTCCATCTGCCAATTCTCCTTCCAACTTTCCAAGTAGTCTATATCCGGATTCCTTTGACAACCTTCCTCACTATCTACAACTCCACCAACTTTCATGTTGTCTGCAAACCTACTAATCAGCCTACTCATATTTTCATACAAATCATTTATACGCATTACAAACAACAAGACATCTCAGGCCTGATCCTTGCAGAATTTCACCGGTCACAGACTTCCAGTCATGAAAAAAACCCTTCCAGAAGTACCTTCTGTCTTCTGTGACCAAGACAATTTTGTACACAACTTACAAACTCACCATGGATCCCATGTGATTTCATCTTCTGGATCAGCCTACTATGAGGGGGACCTTGTCAAATGCTTCATAAAGTCTATGCAGACAACATCCACTGCTCTACCATTATCACTCATCTTTGTCTTTTTCTCAAAAAACTCAAACAAGTTTGTGAGACCAGATCTCTCCCTGCACAATGCCATGCTGACTCTCTCTCTAATAAACACAACCTTCTCCTAACACGAGTAAATCCTGTTCTTAAGAATCTTCTCTAATCATTTCCCTACCATTGATGCAAGGCTCACATTAATCTCCTGGATTATCCCTATTGCCCTTTCAAAACAAAGGAATAAACCTGACTATTGTCCAGGCTTCTGAGACCTCACTCATGTCAAAAGTGGATGCAACAATCTCTGTCAAAGCCTGAGAAATCTCCTCCCTTGTCTCCTTCAATATCCTGGAATAGGTCCCTTCAAGTCCTAGTGACTTAGGTTCCTTAGAACATAGAACTGTACAGCACAGGAACTGTACAGCTGTTTGGCCCAGGGTATTGTGCTGAACGCGACACCAAATTAAACTAATCCATTCTGCCTGCTCTTAGTCCATATCCCTCTATTCCTTGCATATTCGTCTGCTTATCTAAAAGTTTCTTAAACACTCCTATCGTATCTGCCTTCACCACCAGCCCTGGCAGCGCATTCCAGACCCCTACCACTCTCTATGTGGAAAAAGCTTGCCCCTTAAATCTTTGAACTTAGCCAGTCTCACCCTAAATGCATGCTCCTGAGTTGAGACATTTCAACTCTGGAAGAAATGTTCCGGCTGTCAACTTTATCTATGCATCTTACAATTTTATAGACTTCTATCGAGTCCCCCTCAGCCTCTGCCACTCCAGAGAAAACAACCTGAGTTTTTCCAGCCTCTCTTGAGAGTTCATTATAGTTCATACCCTTTAATCCAGGCAGCATCCTGGTAAACCTCTTCTGCACCTTCTCCAAAGCCTCCACATTGTATCTGTAAGGTGGTGACCAGAACTGAACTTCCAGTCAGACTAAGTGTGGCCTGACCAAAGTCTTGTAAAGCTGCAACATGACATCCTGACTCTTATCCTCAATTCCCTGAACAATAAAGGCAAGCATGCCATACACCTTCTTTACCATGCTATCTAATTGCACAGCCACTTTGAGGGAGCTATGGACTTGAACCCCAAGATCCCTCTGTACATCAATGCTGTTTAGGGTCCTGCCATTAGCGTTGTATACGTTTCCTTAACAATGATCTCCCAAACTGCAGCACCCCACACTTACCTGGATTAAACTCCATCTGCCATTTCTTCACCCATATCTGCAACTGATCTATAACCCATTGTATCCTTTGGCAAACTTCTATACTATCCACATCTCTACCAATCTTTGTATCGTCTGCAAACTTTCTAACTCACTCATCTACATTTTCATCCGAGTCATTTATATACATCACAAACAATAGAGGTCCCATTATGGATCCCTATGGAACACCACTAGTCACAGACCTCCAGCCTGGAAAATAACCTTTCACCATTACCCTCTGTCTTCTATGGGCAAGCCAATTCTGAATCTTAAACGTTACATACCTTAATGTTTTTCAAGATAACCAACACATCCTCCTGTTTAATATTGACCTTTTCTTCCTTCATTCAAGCAGTGTGGAGTCACTAGCTAGGCCAGCATTTATTGACCTTCCCTAATTGCCCAGAGGTCAAGAAAGAGTCAACCACATTGCTGTGGGTCTTGAGTCACCTGTAGACAGACCAGGTAGAGACAGCAGATTTCCTTCCCTAACGGACATGAGTAACCCCGATAGGTTTTTCCCTGACAATCCTCAAAAGTCTCATTAACTGTGTCTCTGGATTAATATCTAGCAATAATACCACTAGGTCATCATCTCCCCTTAAAATAGGTCCCAGAATATCAACATATCCATCCCTCATCTTACCATCTTACCATCTTTCACATCCTTCTCCATGATGAATACTGATCCAAGTTACTCATTAATGACCTCTGGCTCTATGTATTAAATTCCCTCCTCTATCCTTGAGTGGGTCAACCCTTTACTTAAGTACCGAAAACAAAGTTGTTGGAAAAGCTCAGCAGGTCTGGCAGCATCTGTGAAGGAAAAAACAGAGTTAACGTTTCGGGTCTGGTGACCCTTCCTCAGAACCCTTTCCTTAAGTACCCTCTTGCTCATAATATATGTATCAAATACCTTGAGATTCTGCTCAGGCCTATTTGACAAGGACTTTCATGGCCCCTTTTAGCCCTCCAAATTTCTTATTTATATTCTTTCCTGCTTCCTTTATATACTCAAGGGCCTTGTTTAATTTCAGTACCTTAAACTTTACATTGGATTCTTTTTTCTTTTTGACTAACGTTTCAATATGTTCTGAGGAAGGGTCACCGGACCCGAATCGCTAACTCTGTTTTTTTCTTCACAGATGCTGCCAGACCTGAACTTTTCCAGCAACTTTGTTTTTGTTCCTGATTTACAGCATCCGCAGTTCTTTCAGTTTTTTATGATCTTTTCAGATTCTTTATCATCCTAGTGAACGTTCTCTGAACTGCCTCCAATGAAATTACATCTTTCCTTAAGTAAGGGGACCAAAACTGCTCACAGTACTCCAGATATGGTCTCACTAGTAACTTGTACGGTAAGACTTCCCTAATCTTATATTCTAACTCCCTTGAAATTTGGGCCATCATTCCATTAGCCTTCCTAATTACCTAATGCACCTATGCGACAGTGTTAGAGTGAGGTCTCTCCCCACTCCTTTTAAATTGCGATGGCCTAGTGGTATTATCACTGGACTGTTAATCCAGAAAGCCGGGATAATGGTCTGGGTATTGGGTTCAAATCGTGTCATGGTAGATGGTGGAATTTGAATTCAATAAAAAGTCTGGAATTAAGAGTCTAATGACGACCATGAATCCACTGTTGCTGGTTGGAAAAACCCATCTGAAATTCACCGATGTCTTTTAAGGAGTGTAACTGCCATCCTTACTGGTCTGGCCTACACGTGACTCCAAACCCACAGCAATATGGTTAACTCTTAACTGCCCTCTGGACAACTAAGGATGAGCAATAAATGTTGGCCTAATCAGTTATGCCCACATCCCATAAATAAATAAAAACAAAAACTGACTCTGGACGGTCCTCAGAATTCGGGCTCTCCCTACACTTCACTCTCTTTGTAAACTTAATGACTCACCTCTTGGTGCTGACTTCAGAAGACACTCCCCATTCCCCACTCAATTTTTAAATTGCTGACTCCTCTTTCAGCATTCTGTTCAGAATATGGTAGTTCATAAAAGCCAGACTCCTTGCCTTGCCATGGTTGACGTACGGTGATACCCCTCAAATCATCTGTCCTCTCTCTCTAGCTGAGAGATGTCTGCAACCCTTCATGGACCATAGTTAATGACCTTATCAAGCTTGCCATAAGGTAGGTCCCACCAACAGCAACGTAACAGTGACTATGTTATTTTATTTGGTTGTTAAGTCATATAAATTACTTATGTTAGGGATGCCTTTACCACAGCATCACTTTAAATCATAATATATTTGGATAAGTTGAAGAAATATTGCACAAGATGAACTATCTCTTTCATACCGACAACTTCAGAAAATCTCATCTAATTACCTTCCAATTCCTTAATCTTCTGTTTATCGATAGTAGCAGTTGTCTCTAACATTACAGAAGCGTTATCATGGGCTTGTAAATCTTGCAGTTGCTTCAAAAGTTTTAACTGATGTTGATCTTTCTCAGCTTGTTCATCTTCATGTTTCTCCTCGATAGCTTGCAATTGCATGCTGTGTTTCTCTCTCATTGTTTTCAAATCCATCTCATGTCTTTCCATCAAATCTCTCACTTGGGCTCTCATCACATGCTTTTCAGCATCAAGCTTAGCCTCAAGATTGTCTTTTTCTAACTGCACAAGTTTCAATTTTTCAATAATCTCCTGAAATTTTTAAAATAATGTTTTAATTTTCTTCCAATGAGAAGTGCAAACCAAAAGGACCTCTGCAAATCTTAAATACAAAATGTCCGACTTCTTTAATAGCAATATAGAATACATGATATGAATGATAAGCAAACAGACAAAACAGCAGTTGAGACAACAAGGTGCAGGGCTGGATGAACACAGCAGGCCAAGCAGCATCATAGGAGCAGAGAGGCTGACGTTTCGGGCCTAGACCCTTCATCAGAAAAGGGGGAGGGGAAGGGGGTTCTGAAATAAATAGGGCGAGAGTGGGAGGCGGATAGAAGAGGGATAGAGGAGAGGATAGGTGGAGAGGAAACAAACAGGTTGAAGAGGCGGGGATGGAGCCAGTAAAAGTGAGTGTAGGTAGGGAGTTAGGAAGGGGATAGGTCAGTCCAGGGAGGACGGACAGGTCAAGGGGGCGGGATGAGGTTGGTCGGTAGGAGATGGAGGTGCGGCTTGAGGTGGGAGGAGGGGATAGGTGGGAGGAAGAACAGGTTAGGGAGGCAGGGACGAGCTGGACTGGTTTTGGGATGCGGTTGGGGGAGGGGAGATTTTGAAACTTGTGAAATCCACATTGATACCATTGGGCTGCAGGGTTCCCAAGCGGAATATGAGTTGCTGTTCCTGCAACCTTCGGGTGGCATCGTTGTGGCACTGCAGGAGGCCCAGGATGGACATGGCGTCTGAGGAATGGGAGGGGGAGTTGAAATGGTTCGCGACTGGGAGGTGCAGTTGTTTGTTGCGAACCGAGCGTAGGTGTTCTGCAAAGCGGTCCCCGAGTCTCCGCTTGGTTTCCCCGATGTAGAGGAAGCCACACCGGGTACAGCGGATGCAGTATACCACATTGGCAGATGTGCAGGTGAACATCTGCTTGATGTGGAAAGTCTTCTTGGGGCCTGGGATGGGGGTGAGGGAGGAGGTATGGGGGCAGGTGTAGCACTTCCTGCGGTTGCAGGGAAAAGTGCCGGGTGCGGTGGAGCTGGAGGGGAGTGTGGAGCGGACAAGGGAGTCACGGAGAGAGTTGTCCCTCCGGAAAGCAGATAAGGGTGGGGAGGGAAAGATGTCTTTGGTGGTGGGGTCGGATTGCAGATGGCGGAAGTGTCGGAGGATGATGCGTTGGATCCGGAGGTTGGTGGGGTGGTACGTGAGGACGAGGGGCAGTTGACATGTTCAACAATTGAAAGAACAAATGTGCACCTGAACTAATGAAAAGGAAACTGAACAGCACTATTATAAATAGAGATTCAGTTACATCATAGGCATAGAAGACTTTTTTTTATCTACTGATAAATGTCACCAGGTGCTCTTCAGCACGTGTTCCGAAAACATAGTGGTATAGTACAACAATCTACAGTGCCACTTCGTGTTCAAAACCTGGAATTACAGTACCACTGGGATTTATTCATCTGGGAAATCCTCATTAAAAGTGTCCATGTAATGAGTTCTATTGTTAGCTGTTTAAAAAAAATTCAAGTGAAAATAGATAACTAAGCGCGTTGACAGGGCACTTTTTTTTTCCCCCAAAAGAAGCTCGTTACATAGTAACATTCCACATATGTCACTTTAAATTATATTGCTAAAGGCTGAAATGAAGTCTTTCAGCTGGTCAACTGCAGAGATCTTTATTGTCAATTTACAGAGCAGCAGGAACCTCTGTCCTCACCTGTATCTTATGGTCTCTCCCATCAAGTTCTTTCTGCAGCACATCCACAACTTGTGTCCTTCCCATTAGTACTTCCTCCTTTTCATGAAGTTTTTGTTTGAGGGCTTTCAACAACTGAAGGAATCAATTAAGTGAAAAATCATCCCCAATACTATAAAAAATTGTAATGCATCATAAAAACCTTGTGCCAGTACCAACATTTATAGTCAGAACACTCCAATGAGTAGGTCCCCATCTGACTTTATTTTTATGCTAAAAATTGCTATTAATGATCCTAAGAAATAAAAGGTTTGTTCACCCATGACATTCCATTGTCTATATTAAGACCATAGGAGCATATGAATTGGAGCAGAATTAGGCAATCTGGCCCATCGGGTGTGCTCTATCACTTAGTAATGGTTGATAGTTTTCTCAAACTCGTTCTCATGCCTTCTCCCTGTAACCTTTGATTCCCTTACTAATCAAAAACCTATCTACCTCTGTCTTAGATAGACTGAATGAATGGTAATGGGTTCCACAAATTCACCACACTCTGGCTGAAGAAATTCCTCCTCATCTCAGTTCTGAAGGGTCATCCCCTCACACTGAAGCTGTGCGTTCAGGTCCTACTATCTCCTACTACATCTTCTGCATGTCCAGTCTATCCAGGTCTCTCGGTATTCTGTAATTTTCAATGAGATCACCCCTTATTCTACTAAACTGTACTGAGTACAGACCCAGAGTCCTCAACTGCTCCCCATATGACAAGTTCTTCATCACCAGGATCATCTTGTAAACCTCTTCTGGAGCCCCTCCAATGCCAGCACATCCTTCCTTAGATCCAGGGCTCAAAACTGCACACAATATTCCAAATGCAGTCTGGCCAGAGACTTCTACTGCTGAGGCTGTTTATCTCTGCTCTTGTATTCTACCCGTCTTGAAATGAATGCTAAGATTGCATTTATCTTCCTAACTGCGAACTGAACCTACATGTTAACCTTAAGTTTATCCTGAACAAAGACTCCTAAGTCCCTATGTGCTTCAGATTTCCTTTAGAAAATAGTTATTTTAAAATCACCTGATGTAGTTGTAAAATTGCACACAAAGGAATGTCAACTTAACAGGCTAAGAATATGCTTACTAGCATTGAGCGTAATTCATAACTTAAGGATACTTGATGGTTTAATCATCAAAAATATATATTAAATGTCCCATGCAAGTACCAGAATTCATACACAAAGAACATTGTAAATATTGTAAATAAACAATACTGCATAAAATCTCTAAATCTTCAATAAAAACAAAATACTGTGGCTGTTGGAAATCTGAACTAAACACAGAAAATGCTGGAGAAATTCAGCAGCTCTGCAGCATCTGTGGAGAGAGTGTTAATGCTTTGAATCTGGTATGACTCTTCTTCACTGTCCAGTGTTAAAAACACAAGTAAATAAATCTACAAGATAGAAGTTATTTTCAAATGAACATTACACAGTTCTGAACAATTTGTAGCTGCAATTTACTTCAATGGAGCTTCAGCAGTATTCATGGAATCTTTCACACAAAATCTGCTTTGTATTTTTGATAGTGAATATCAATTTGTCAAATTCTTTTATTACACATATAACAGTCTTAGTTCAAATATAGTTATCATAAAAAGTTAACCTGTTCAAAATCGGCACTAGCATCTAATTTTGAGGCCAGAATGAAGAGTTCTTGCTCATGCTTCTGTGCTTGCTCAGCAAGTTTGTTTTCCTTTGCTTGAATTATTTCTTGAAACACACGAATCTGAAACAAAGATTCCACCAATGACAAGGTGACATAGATAATGGGATTATTGCTGTTAGTGGAAGAGCGAGGCTGATTGCACTTCCCACTACTAACGAGTAAATATCTTCAAGGGGCAGATCCACAGTTAATTCTGATACAAGTAATTGCTACCACAGTTGCAAACTCTGCAACCAGCTTCACAAAGGAAAAGCATCTTACTGTGTACCTCACCACTAACTTAAGATAATAAGATCATAAGACAAAGGAGCAGAAGTAGGCCATTCAGCCCATCAATGAGATCATGGCTGATCTGATAATCCTCAACTGCATTTTCTTGCCTTTTCCAAATAACTCTTGATTCTCTTACTCCTTTACCTAAAAATCTTTCTCAGCTTTGAATATACTTGACAACTCAGTCTCTATAGCCCTCTGGGGTAAACAGTTCCTCAAATTCACAATCCTCTGAGAGAAGGAATTCCTTTTTATCTTTCCAAGTGTGATGCCTTATTTTGAGATTTATTCCCTCCAGTCCGAGACTCTCCCACAAGGGGAATCAACTTTCCCACACCTAACCTAACCTGTCTTGTCCCCTAAGAATACTCTAACTTTCAATAAAGTTGCTTCATATTCTTCTAACTTTCAATGAACACAGGCCCAACCGACAGAACATTTCCACATAAAAGAGTCCCTTTACGCCAAGGATTGGTCACCAAAGATCAGTTGTCGTGGTCTACATAGGTACCCACAACCTAGATAAAACTAGGACAGAGGCTCTGCTAAGGAAGTATGAACAGCTAGGAGCCAAATTAAAAAGGAGAACGAAAAAGTGAATAATCGCTGGATTACTACCTGAGCAACAAGCTAATTGGTACAGGGTCAATAAGATTAAGCAGGTAAATGCGTGGCTTAAATATTGGTGTGGGAGAAATGGGTTTGAATTCATGGAACATTTGCACCAGTACTGGGAAAGAAGGGACTTGTGACGATGGGATGGTCGTCATCTGAATCGTGCTCGGACCGGAGTCCTAGCAAATCGCATAACTAGGGCTGTAGACTGGGCTTTAAACTGAATGCTGGTGCAGGGAGGTGGTTACTGTTGTAGGGGAAATTAGAAAATCCAAATTAAAGGAGGAGGTAAGAGTGCAAGCTGACAAAGTGGGGGGATGGTTACCAGACAATAAAGGTGAGGGACAGAACAAGTGATTGCCTCTATGCATCAAGGATTTACAAAAGAGTAGGGAAATTTACCAGTAGAACAAATTTAAAAGCTTTCTATCTAAATGCAAGAAGCATTCGAAACAAAATTAATGAGTTAATGGCACAAACAGAAACAAAAGGGTATGATTGGGTAGTAATTACTGAAACATGGTTACAAGGAGACCAGGTCTGGGAATTGAATATCCAAGGGCGCTCAGCATTTTGGAGGGATAGAATGAAAGGAAAAGGAGGTGGTATAGTTTTGCTGCTGATGGAAGCAATCAGTGCTGTAATGAGAAATGACATAAGCGTGGGAGATCAAGATGTGGAAACAGTCTGGGTTGAAATAAGAAATAGCAAAGGGAAGAAGTACTGGGCAGGAGTAATCTTTAGGTACCCAAACAGTAGTTCCACAGTGGGGCACAGTATAAACCAGGAAATGTTAGAGGCTTGCGAGAAAGATACAGCAATAATCATGGGTGATTGGAAGAATCAAACTGGCAAGGGTAGCCTGAAGGCAGAGTTCATTGAATGCATTAGAGATTGTTTCTTGGAGCAGTATGTTGTGGAACCAATCAGGGAGTAGGCTACTCTGGATTTGGTATTGTGTAATGAGGAGAGATTAATTGATAACATCATAGGATCCCCTAGGGAGTAGTGTTCATAGTATGATTGAATTCAAAATTCAATTTTGGGGATAAGAAAGTGCAGTCCCACGGTAGTATTCTAGAATTAAACAAAGGAAGTTACATAGGATCGAGGACAGATTTGGCCTGAGTACATTGGGCAGGAAAGCTGAAAAATAAGACAGCAGATCAGCAGTGGCAGTTGTTTAAGGAACTACTCAATTCCTCACAACTACAATGTATCCCAGTGAGGAACAAAAACAGTAAGGGGGATAATAAACATCCATGGTTAAACAAGGAGGTTACGGACAATATAAAGTCAAAAACTAAGGTATACCATATTGCAAAGGCCAGTGATAGGCAGAAGGATTGGGAAACTTGCAAACAGAAACAAAGGGATACTAAAAAATTAATAGAAAGAGCTAAGGTAAATTATGAAAGAAAACTAGCACAAAATATCAAAAAGTACAGCAAAAGCTTTTACAGGTATATCAAAGGGAAGAGAGTTGCGAAGGTGAATATGGTCCCTTGGAAGATGAAATCGGAGAATTAATAGTAGGGAACACTGAAATGGCAGAAATGCTAAATCAATATTTTGCCTCAGTTTTCACAGTAGAAGAAATTAGTACCATTGCAAAGTGTTAGAATCAATTATCAAGGAAGAAATATCAGGGCATTTGGATAGTCAAAATGCTATCCTTCAGAGTCAGCATGGTTTTATGAAGGGCAAATCATGTTTGACTAATTTGCTGGAGTTCTTCGAAGATGTAACAAGCAAGTGGATAATGGGGATCCTGTTGATGTAATATAATCTGGACTTCCAGAAGGCGTTTGATAAGGTGCCACACAAAAGGTTAATTCACAAGGTTGGATCATATGGGATTATGGCTAATTTATTACCTTAGATAGGTGACTGGCTGATGGACAGAAGACAAAGTCAGGATAAATGGATTTTTTTCTGGATGGCAAGAAGTAACTTCGGTCCTTGGGTGCCAGCTATTTATAATCTACATGAATGACTTAGATACAAGAATAAAGACTCTATTGTCAAATTTGTGGACGACACAAAAAATAGGTGGAACAGTAAATTGCAACGACAAAACAGAACCTTACAAATGGATATAGATAGGCTAGGAGAATGGGCCAAAATGTGGCAGATGGAGTTTAACATGGATAAGTGTGAGGTCATGCATTTTGGTCAGAAAAATGGGAAGAGATTTTGGGGTGCTCCAGTGCAGAGGGATCTGAGTGCCCTCATTCATGAGTCACAGAAAACTAATATGCAGGTACAGCAGATACTAAAGAAATTAAATGGAATGTTGGCTTTTATTGCTAAAGGAATAGAATCTAAGGAAGTATTGTTGCAACTATACAAGGCATTGGTGAGACTGCACTTGGAGTATTGTGCACGGTTTTGGTTCCCTTATTTCAGGAAAGATGTAGTAGCATTGGAGGCAGTTCAGAGGAGGTTCACTAGATTGATCCCAGAGATGAGAGGTTTTTTGTATGAGGAGAGAATGAGCAGTTTAGGCCTATACTCTCTGGAATTTAGAAGAATGAGGGGAAATCAAATTGAAGTATTCAAGATGATGAAAGGTGTTGATAAAATAGATGTGCAGCAGATGTTTCCTCTTGTGGGGCATTCTAGGACAAGAGGTCATAGTCTTAGGATAAGGGGGAAAGTTGAGAAGAAACTACTTCTCCCAAAAAGGTTGTGAATCTGTGGAATTCGCTATCCCAAAGTGCAGTGGATGCTGGGACAGTGAGTAAATTTAAGGAGGAGTTAAACAGAGTTTTAATTGGTAATGGGTTGAAGGGTTATGGAAAGAAAGCAGGAAAATAGGGGAGAGGAGCATATCAGCCATGATCAAATGGCAGAGCAGACTTTGATGGGCTGAATGGCCTAATTGAGCCCCTGTATCTATCTTATGGCCTAGTGAACCATCTCTGGACAGGCTCAAATAACAGTATGCATTTCTTTAGATACAGACCACAAAGCTTCACCGTATTCCAGGTGTGGTCTGACAAGTGCATTGTGCAGTTTTTGCAAGATTTCCTTATCTTAATACTCCATTACCTTTGAAGTAAAGGCCAACATTCCGTCTGCTTTCCTTATTACCTGAAGAACCTGATACTAGTTTTTTGAGATTTAAAGGACTCCCAAATCCCTCTGTGCTGTAGCTTTCTGCAGTCTTTCTCCCTTTAATAATATTCAGCCCTTCTGTTCTTACTGCTCAAGTGCATAACTCCATACTTCCTCATAGATTCCATCTGACAAGTTTATGCCCACTCACTCAACGTGTCTAAATTCCTCTGTAGTTGCTTTGCATCATCCTTGATACTTTTCTACAGGATGGAGGTTTTCAAGACGAGGAGGCACATTCTTAAGGTGAAAAGAAAGAGATTTAAAAAAGACATGGAGGGCAATTGTTTTACACAGAGGTGGTTCACATGTGGAATGAACTTCCTGCGAAGTGGTGGATGTACAACTACAACATTTAAAAGACGCTTTGATAAGTACATGAATAGGAAAAGTTTGGAGGAATATGGGCCAGGAGAAGGCAGGTGGGACTAGTTTAGTTTGGGATTATGTTCGGCATGGACTGATTGGACCAAAGAGTCTATTTCCGTGCTGTTTGGCTCTATGACTGCATGACTTGCATTCCTACCTACTTTTGTGTCATCCACAAAACTATCTAACTTACATTCACAGAAATTAAGAACTGCCGATGCTGGAACCTTCAGAAAACGAAGAAGGGTCCTGACTTGAAACGTCAACTTTCCTGCTCCTTTGATGCTGCCTGGCCCACAGTGTTCCTCCAGCTCCACACTGTGTTATCTTCTAACTTACATTCACTTTGCTTATCCATGTCATTAATAATTGTTGTAGATAATTGCAGCCCCAATGCAGATCCCTCTGGCACACCACTAGTTATAGATTGTCATTCTGAAGTGTTCCCCTTTTCCCAATTCTCTACCTCTATTAGTTAGCCAATCCTCTATCCAAGCTGATACTCTACCTCCAACACATGGGCTCTTAGCTTATTCTGTAGCCTATGATGTGGTACTTTATCAAATGCTTTCTGAAAATCCAAATACATTACAAGCACTGGTACGTCTTTATCTATCCTTCTTGTTACTTCCTCAAAGAATTCTAATTAGTTTGTCAGGCATGATTTCCTCATTGCGAAATCA